ATTTTAACTAATTTGAGATCAAATTTATTAAGCATAGCAAACCTTCTACGAGGTTGAACTATATATCTCTTTATGAGATTTTTTGATTTAAAATTATTTTAAATTAATATATTAAAAGATAAACAACTAAAGCAAATACTGAAAGCGGATTTCAAATCATATTTTGATCATTTAAATTAAGTTAGCATCTATCATAATCAAAATTAAGTTGAAATTTTTGAAAAAAATGGATTTATGCCAATACTATAAAATAATAAATTAAAAGTGAAAAAAATGAAATTAGAGTAGCCTTAAAAAAGCCTAAAAATTGAGAAATATTTGAATTGAAATTTTGCACTTTTAGGTTGGGGGAGATTTTTTAGACAAACTTCATGTGTGGAATATAACAAATATTACAATCTCATAATTATTGTCATTCATTATTATAATTATTACTCTCTAAAGTCTAGGTATAATTTTCATTTGATTATGATATAATTATATAAAAAATACTTTTGTTTAAACATTTCAATCGAATAATCACTGAAGATAAATAATACTGAATAATTTTTTACATAACTTAGTAAGGTATATAATTATTATATTACCTTGATTTAGTTTAAATATAATCTTCAAAAATCTTTATCTTATTTTCAAAGAAGAAAATAATTTATTAGACTTATCAATACTTCTTAAAGTTAGAAGAGTTGAAATAAGGGCCCTATTAAATCATATTATTATACAATACCATATTGATGTAAGAACAAAAGGAAATACACTATTAATTGCATCTCTACAATCTTAACAAGATTTGTTTAATTAATTTAAAAATAATTTCTTTGTCCTCGTTTATCATACATGTCACATTCTTCACACAAACCTCCAATATGTTCTGCTAAACATAAATTATCTGACATAACCCATCATCCTTCACAAAATCAACAAATTTGAAACATTGTTCAATCAAATCAGATTAATAATTAGGTCTACAATAACCCTTCTTGAGTTAAATCTAATTTGAAGTTATAAATTGAAATTTATTTTAATAAAAAATAGAACATTTTGTATCAATTTGTTACAGAATAATATCCTTAGCTTGGTTAACATATTTAACAACCTGATTAAAAATAACACTCCCCTAATTAGCAAATATACCTTTAATTTCAATATAATATAACAAAGTGTCAGATTAATCATTAAGGTGACAAAAAATCTAAATTTAATTGGTTTGATTATTTTATTTGTATGGATCAATAGTTATAGATAAAAATCTTAAATCAAAATTATTTGATTCAGAATGATATTCAATATTTGCAATATTTGTCGAATCAATTAGAGTATCATTTATTAATGTTTACATAAAAATTTCACATGTGGAATTAGAAAAATTAGGTAATTTTTCATTAAGATTATTTTTATAAGATATTGAAAATTCTTCTAAATTATTCTCAAATTTAAGTTATGATGGATTATATATTGTACAATTAATAATTTCTTAATTGCTTGGTAAGATTAATAATTTCGTTAATTGTACCTTTCCTTATTCAATTACAAGATAAGGTTACAATAACAAAATATTTGATGTTTTATTGTTAATCTTTTTCTAAATAGTTTTCATCTCGATATTATTAATTGATAAAGATAAATGAGTTGGCATTTCTTAAAGATTATTAGGTAAAAGAGATGATGAATTCAGTTTCATCCATAATTTTATAAAATTTCTTAATTTAATTTACTATTACCTTATAAGTAAATTTCTTCTCCTTATTTAGCTTTGTTATTATAAAGAATTGTTTGAAATATATTAAATTAATCGTTATTAATTGAAAAATACAAAGCTCCTCCTCGTGTTTAAATACATTATTTACAATTAGATATATATTTTTAACAGTTTGTTATTTCTGGAGCAACTCCAAAATCTTAAATAGCTGATAACCTACATAATTATTAACCTAATGGGTTTATAAAAGATCTCTTGCAATTAGGTAATGTTGGTTCTTAATAAATACATTTACCTACTGTAAAATCAAATAT